AAAACGTTTCAAAAATAAACTATTTTTCGTATCATTCTATGAAATCTTGGGTGGATTTCGAGCGTTCAGTGAACGTATCGGCAGTCGTACGAAAGAAAATTCCACAATACGAAAACAACAGATCGTAATTGTTTGAAAATGTAAAAGATTTCATGTTCATCTTTTACATTCTTCTCTTACAATTTTGAATCAGCTGTTCGTAAATGCTTAATAAAATAAGCAATTGCGGTCGGCACTTTACTTTCTTGTTTATCTTCCGATGAAAGTGATGTCGATGAACGAATTGTGAGTAGACGATTAAGGGAACTTGCATATTTTTTTCGCCCGGTCTTTCGGTCTGCGTATAGCTAAAATATAAGGTTGAGAAAAATTTCGAATTGCAGGCCTATTTTTACTGTTACCGGTAAAGTAAATTTTGGAACTTTTCTTCAACACCCGAAATTAAATTTGGTATTCCAGCGAACTGCTTTTTTCGTCCATGTCAAATTACATTTGCCAATTGATAAAGTAAAAAGAAAAATATTCACATCGTAATGGAAAACGGTGCACAAAAAAATTAAAAAGTTTTATTAATTTGTTTATTAAATCATAAATATTTGAACTCATATATGGGAAATTTGCCTAGACGACAAAGAAAGCTGAATGACAATGTTATCTTACAAACTAAAGATCTATTTTTCAGTCTCGAAAACTTCTTAAAATACGGCTTTTTGCACTTTTTTCTTCATCTTCAATGAATTCCAGGCCTAAAATATGCCTACCCATTTTGGTTTTTATTTTTGTTCAAACTGACAGCACAAAATCAAACAGCAGATATTTTTGTTACCTCCTATTTCGCTGGTAACAAAATTTACTGAATGGTAAATTCGACAGAATAGGCCTGTTAAAGGGAAATTCATGTTTGTATACCTTCTTCCACGTTTTTACAATATATCCTTAACTGGCAGGCCAAGCATTTGATTTGACCTGTGTGCAGTTTCGTAAATGGTTTTTTGCCAAAATCGGATATGACCGCATGAATTTAGCGGTGAACTCCTTTTGTGCCTCGTTAATTTTATTGGCATTTGTCCTAAAATAATATTTTTTATATTTTAAAATGCAATACTCGTTAACTCATGGTCTTCCCGAACGCATCGTACCGAATTACGACAACGAGTACAAGTTCACGTTTGGCGTAAAGTCAAATACTTAAATTTACGTTACAAGTTAAACGTTCACGGAACGCTCGATTCGACCCATAGTTTAAACTAGCGACATTTAAGTGTCCATAGCGATTATGCCAATTGATTTCATTCATATTTTTCATATTTACGTTAACACGTTAAAAAGAACGTTCTTAGTTCTCATCAATAAACATAAGAATATTAGATTATCCAAATTTCAATTTCACGTTTCCTTGTCCTTTAGCTTTAAAGCAGATTTCACCTGCTAATATGACCTTCTCGTGTTTCTTCTTGCCCTGATGCAAGTAGTGAAAGTACATACCTTCGCGTTATCTCTTTGTTCCGTTAATAAATTCTTCCGCTTGTATTTACAATTATAAATTCCTTTTATGTCTCTTTCGTTCTAGTGTCCTCTCACCTTTGTCTCGCACAGAGTAAGCTTTTTTATTAACATTACCTTCAAGAGTAACATTTTGACTAAAAGTTCGTCGATTTTTTCAACGATATTCATAACAGAGTGTTGTTGTTGTATTGTTTGCATCTCTCGGCTTGTGATTCATCAAATCCTTAAATAATTCAACTTTTCTTGCTGGTCCTCTCCTCTATGCTGATTTATTTCCTTTAGATTATTCCACGCTGCTGCCACAGCAATTTGCGTGCTTAACGTTATTGAAGACAACACCTTTTTATCTTGAGACTCCCATTTTTCAATTGCCTTTGCAGATGTGCATGAGGACTTGATGCTTCTGCCGCTTTCAATTTGCCAGAACATTTTTCATTTGTACATTTCAATATTCATTTTTGGAATAATTTAGCTTCACAATTTGACAAATAGAAGTCATTTTAAACCTTTTTTTCTTAAACGCAGCAAAATATAATTTTTCAAATTCTATAATTTTAGTAATCAAATTGACTTTCAATTCAAAGCTAAGGTCCTCACAACATATTGAAAAAAATTAGACGATTTATTCCAATCAAGGCGGATTTAGCATGGTAAAGTTACTAGAGCAGCGAGTTTAACTTTTTTCATTTAAATGTTTTGCTTCAGTGTAAAGATTCTCAAAATGTTTGTTTATATTTCGCATTTATTTTAAGTTTGAAAAGTGAAAATTTTCAAATTTGATTTTTTTTTTTATTTTTTTTTCAAATGAAAAATATTGACCGTTGTTGAGTTCAGCTGATACGGCTATTAATCAACGCACTTATGCCAATAGGTCCGTTGTGATACCGATGTGATGCTCCTGGCTTCAGCTTCTCAAATGTTCAATTCATTTCGTGCAACGAGATTTCCAATTTTCGCTGAAGCTAGCCCAGCGTGACAGTTGAATGAGTGCTTCCCGAGGAACTTGTGTCGCGTAGATGTCAAGTCTGAATAGCGACAGAAGCAGTGCTCAATAGACTCTTCCACTTCTTCCAGCCTACAGCCGTGAAGCTCCTTCGAACGGTTATTTGTTATTGCACCCGCCGTTATGATAAAGGATAACCGGTCTAGCAGGATTATATGTTTAGTTTTTTTCGCCTCCAATTTTGGCCATAGCTGCCTGGTCACGTTGAACGTGATCTCATTTAACATTAGCATTTAGGCAAAGGTCAATATGCTTTGCCGTAGCAAATGTAAACCTTTATCCCTTGCATGGTTTGTTGTGGATAAAAGTTCTGCAAGTTCATCTACCGTGCGATAGCTTGGGATGTTCTTGTCTCTGTCTTCCAATTTTCGTTTTTTTCTCTTTTCTGGCTTGTTTTGAAATATTGATTTAATTTGACAAAGCGAATTGTATGAACTTGTTATGAATTAGACAATTGTTACACTTAAAAAATACACGGTTATTGTTGTTTTTCTTCTCCTGCTCTCACCTTGGTGAGTACTATTTCATGAATACAAACAAAAAAATTAAAGCCTATTTTGTTTATTTCCAATAAATTTTTTCTTATCATATTTAGTTTTATTTTACCATACGTTATTTGATTTAATTTAATTTTAATTCACAACTACATATATTTTTTAAAGCTCTTTACTTGCCTTTCTCATTTTTTATAACATTTTATTTTTTATTTTGTATAACTTAATTCGTTTTTGTTTTATGATAGTTTAAGTTGCTTTTTTAATATGTATAATTTTCCCCGATTTCTGTAGCCGAGTGGGTAGAATTGCGTACTGCCACTCGGAAAGCTCGGGTTCAAATCCCCGTGCGACCAACATTCAAATATTATAGAAAATTAATTTTAATACAAAATTAGGTTAAAATTTCTGATTGCGGTCGCCCCTGGACAGGAAATGTCAACCCCGCCGTTTATATTTTATATCGGCTCCTCATAAAAAAACCCATCAGCCTTTCGAAGGCGGCTTAGTATAAACTCTAGATCTCTCCATTTGTTGGAAAAACACCTAGACGCAAAACCACAACTTGGAGCAGGAGCTCGGCCGAAAATCACTTCAGAGGTTACAAAGCGCCAATTATTATTTTATTTATGTTTATTATATTTTGTTGTATTTAATTTTTATGTTATTTATTTTTATATTATTTTATTTTAATTAATTTTTTTTTAATTTTTAATTCTGGTCTACTTTGTGCTCCATTTTATTTATCTTTTCATTTTTTATTATGTACGAGGGGTGTGCAAAAAGTATCGCGAATTTTGAATTTTCGCGGGTTACGTATAATCGAATTTCGATTTTTTGTTGCGTTATGTTGGTACTCATGAATGTTCACTTAATTGTTGACAGCTGCTTTGCTTGCACGTGTTTTGGATAGTCTTCGATTTTTACCTATTCAAAAAAAATGGATCAAAGGACCTGTATCAAATTTTGTATGAAAAACGAAATAAAGTACGCGTATGCAATCCGAATGTTGCCTGTGACATACGGAGAAGCTACCATGGACCGACGCAACGTTTATCGGTGGTACAAAATGTTCTCAGAAGGCCGAGAAGATGTGAACGGCGAAGGGCGTGCTGGACGCCCGAGCACTTCAACAACAGACGAAAAAATTAATTGCAGGGACGTGGTGCATCATGAGTTCTTGCCACAGGGTAGAACGGTCAATAAGGAATATTACCTGCAAGTTATGTGCGAAGCAATCCGCCAGAAACGCCTGGATTTGTGGAAGAACAAAAACTGGCTTTTGCACCACGATAACGCCCCTGCTGACACGTCGTTGCTTGTGCGCGACTTTTTGGCCAAAAACAACACACTAATGATGCCGCAACCACCGTATTCTCCGGGTCTGGCCTCCTGGGGCTTTTTCTTGTTCCCTAAACTGAAGAGGCCCATGACGAGATAAAGACGACATCGAAGGACGAGCTGAACAAGATAAAAAAAATAATTTTTTGAAGTGCTTCGAAGATTGGAAAAACCGTTGGCACAAGTGTATAAAGTAATAATATCCCATGGGGATTACTTTGAGGGGGACAAAATAGATATTCATGAATACATAAATAATTTTAGAAAAAAACACAAAATTCGCGATATTTTTTGAACACACCTCGTATCTACAGATATATATTATATTAACTTATTTGTTATTATTATTATTTATTGTTTATTTGTAAATTCTAAAACAGAAGTCCTTTTAAAGAAAGGAAAAGAGTAATCTAAAATATCCTTATTGTTGTCCATCAAATTGGGATGGGAAATTTAGAAAATTGCTTGTAGCAAATTACTGATTCCTTCATTTTTAGTATAAAAGCTTTAGCTCACCAACTTCACAAACGCTACGCCCCACTTTTCGAGGAACTTATAATCTGAATATTTTTAATGTTCCAATACATTGCCTTATTTTTATGAGAATATTAGCAAACAAATTTCAAATAAGCATTAAAATTTTTCCCTACTTTCAGTGCGAAATTGCCGTGAAAGATGGCGTACGATTCGAAGCAGTTTCCTGCGGTCCCTAAAACTGTCGCGAACTAGTACCGGCCGGGGCAAGCGCAAATATTATCTTTCCAAGTATTTGCAGTTCTTGATACCCTACACCAAGACGCGTCTAAAGAATGTCAGCGGCACAGCATCAAATATTATTGCGCAACGGAAAACGACACCACAGCCGCCCATGACGCGCATCAATCACATACCATTACCCATAGTCAGCAGTGATGACACCAAAGATTCCAATGGCACCGAAGTTGCTATAGCCGAAGAGGATGTCGTAGTTTCACTACATGAGGAGTCGCCGACACAGCAACAACGCATCACGGTGCAACCGCCGATGACAGCACCGTGCGCCATACCAGTACCAGTAGTCATGCCTGCACCGACAGCCATCAAAACGGAACTGGGTGCAACGACGCCAGAACATGGTCGATGTACAGCGACGGCCGTCACCAGTTTGAATGCCTGTGCCATTGCCGGACTCAGTGGTGGCGGTGGTGTTGGTGTCAGCAGCAGCAGTAGTGGTAATGCGGCAAACAGTAATGCTTTTGCTTCAGCAGCGGATACACAACCAACTCCGCGTAGTGCATCTGCCGTCGATCTGACGGAATTTGCCGAATGGATTAAAAGTAAAAATGAACATCATCGCCAATGTTTAATGCCCTCCTCACCTGATGCTGATCAATCATTTCTCAACAGCTTGCATCCATTTCTGAAGGAAATGTCCGGGAAACAGAATCGCCGCTTCCGGCAGAAGGTCGTAGCGCTAATCGATGCCATACTGGATAATGCCGACTGAGGCTACTACACATGTGATGCGTAACGTATAGCAGCAAAGCAACAGAGCAGCAAAGCAGCAAAGCAGCAAAGGCGTCGGTGATGATGACGGTGGGGAACGTTGGTCGTGGTAGTGCTGGATCTTGTACGGTACCAAATGAGAGTGGACACGGTCGTGAATGTAAACGTGAACATAGCAGTGATAGAATATAGAGTAGCCTCCCTGTGGAAGGGAGACTACAACAAAAGTAAACCTTACGCACATGAACACTAATATACCTAGCGCTTCAACGCACACATACCTACATACATACAGTTAGACACTAATACAAACATTATACAATATCTTCATGCACAACTCAAATGTGTATTGTAAAAATCTGTTAATTTTATTAGAGAAAAATATATTTTTTTTTTTGTTTCCAGTGGAATTGAAATAAATGCTTTATTTTTTGTAATTTTTGTCTTTTAAAATCGCGTCAGGAGGGGCTACGGCGATAATACTTAGCCTGGCAAGATCCCATACTCTAGGGCAGTGTTGTCCAAACTTTTTTTTTTTGTTGGCGTGGCCACAGAAGTGTCCAACAGATCCATTCAATGGCCACTTTTTCCACAAGTCGAAACTCTCTTTCTTTCTTTCTTTCTCTTTCTTTCTTTTTTTCTGTTAATTTATCAAAGTCTGGCTTCGATTGGATTAGTTCGCAACGAAGGTCGGATTCCAAATTTTGTTGCGTTATGTATTTTTACGCCGCGTGAGACTTGAAAATGATGCTTCTCAAACATGCTTAAAAACTTTGGTACAATGTCTTTGAGTGCAATGCAACGCCCGTTTCATTTGGCAAGTCACTTTCTTCATTTATCAACGTAATATCAAATTCCAAAGGAGTTTTCTTTGTTCCGAAAAGATCTGACAATTTTCGAATATTATTTGCGACCCAAAAACGAATCGGTTTTTGAGAAATTTGAATACAAACATAAACTTTTGAAAGTCTTCAAATCGTGATTCAAAATATCAATATATTGAATGAAAATGTGCGTATCGTAACCTAGCTCAAATTATTCGTTACATTGATTTGTGTCTAAAACTGGGAAGAAAGTAAAATCATTTTCGTTAATTTGGTTTTTAAATTCGGCCAATTTCAATTTGAATTCTTGAAAATCTTTTGCCAAGTCCCAAATGAAATTATTTTCTCCTTGCAGCCTCAAATTCAACTTGTTCAGATGTTTCATAATATCGGCCAAAAAGTACGATTTTTCTTTCAACGCATGTGTCGATATTTCACTGAATTCTACATCCAAGTGTTGATCCTTGAGAAATAGTCCGATTTCATCAAACAGATCATAAAAGCGATTCAAGACATTTCCACAGCTGAGTCAGCGAATGCTTTTGAAGAACATTATGTCACCAAATTTCAAATTTAATTTTTCTGTCAACAATTTGAATCGACGATGACCTACTGCACTAGCTCTGATTGTATTGATGATCTGCAAATAAATGAACGGACATTACAGCTAACTGCTGTTTGCCTTATTAATATGAAATCGCTTCGGTTAACAAATTACATATTTAGTTTTTTGGAAATTCGAATTTTTTCCAAAAAACGATTTAAAATTAAAGTCTTCTCGTTGGTCACTGAAATTCGTCGCTTGGCCATAAGTGACCAAGTGGCCACTAGTTTGGGCAGCACTGCTCTATGGTGTACCTTCGGTACAGCAGTCGGAAAGTTTAGCCTCCGTGACGAAACGTCGCCAAACGGGCTGAGGCTGATCGACTTAGCCGGGGTTTGAAAATGATTGATCAGAAGATCAGGAATGTCGAGAAAACAGATTATCCAAGCAAGACACGTGTATGCAACAGTGCTTTAGAAGCAGTCAACCAGAGATGTCCTTACCTTACCGAAATATTTAGAAATTTTATATAACTCGCAAGCGATTTTTCTTGGGAATTTGCTTTTGAAAGTGCAGAAAGGAATTTAATAAGTTAAGAACCCCTAGAATGAACGAGATCTCAATTGATTTGCATAATAAAGTTAAAACAATTACCTTTTGAATTGCAGTATGGAATTTCCAAGACGTATCCCATTTGTAATTTGTCCTCGTTCATTACCAATTAGCAATGCGCATGTTGAAAGAGTCTTTAGCGTGATGATCGTGGTGAAATTAAAGCTTATGAATCGTACATACATGTACATACATATGTATGTTGCTTTAATACGAATCAGAGTTTAGAAGAGTTTTTGCAGGAGCTATACTCCTACTCATACTCATATGTACATATATACTACTCCCATACTTCGTATTATATATTAATATACGTTCTTTTCTACTTCTAAAACTCACGAGTAATAACAAGTCTCAACTAAATGTCCATTGAAAATGATGACACTGGGCTAACTAAGCCACTTTGTTTGATAGATGCTGGCGAATATTAAATTCAATATTATCTGAAAAATATTTAATTATTAATTAATTATTTATTTTATGTTGATTTTTTTACAACTAATAACACGACCAAATGACTTTGCGTCATAAGTTAGTGAGCAAAAGTCTATTTGTTTAAGTGAACTTTACATTTATAATTCAATATTTAAAAAAATGCTTGTTTATTATTGGTATAAATTGTTTGTATGTTTGGTCAAACCAGGAATCGAACCCGGGCCTACGCTCTTCTAACCACTCGACAATTGCGGCCGCCATTCATTTACCAACCACACATTATGACTCACTATAGGCTGGCTTGGCTTTCATCGTCATCATACTCGTACAATGCGCTATCGAAATTGAAAAAAGGCTCAACCTTGACCCTGCGTTATTATGGGTTGGTCCATATACTGTTTGTGCATGAGGCTTGACAACAGTTGTCAACACGCCATTTTATGGATTCTAATAAGCGTCAAAACTTATTGTGCGTTAGCGTAGATCAGTGTAGATGCGTTCTATTAGTTTTCCAGCGACTGTGGTATTCGCCGTTACCAATTCGTAAAACACCATAAACTCCTAACACCGACTCATCAAATGTTACCATCGTCCATGCTTCCGCACCATATATCAGGACCGGAACGATACGCGATTTTTACAGTGTGGTTTTCATTCGCCGAAAGGGGACTTTACTTTTCAATTGCTGGCAAGAGTGATTCTGCGTTAAATTTCCAGGTTGACATTGTTGTTGGTGTTAATACTGGCTCCAAGATAGACGAAGTTATTTACGATTTCTAAGTATGACTGTCAACAGTGACACGGGAACCGCGTCGCGAATACGACGAATGTTTGTTTGATGACAGCAGATATTTTGATATTTTTGAGGTTCTTCTCAATTTCAACTACATTTCTGGTGTGTAGCGGCGTAGAGTCAGCTCCGTTTCGTACTGTGGCTTTAAAATCGACCAAGAGGCGCTGTGGGTCGATCCTTTTTTCACAGATCATTTCCAAGATTTGACGCATGGAGAATATCTGGTCATTGATTGATTTTCCAGGTCTAAAGCCGCTCTGATAAGATCCAATCAGTTTGTTGATGGTGAGCTTTAGTCTTCTATTGAATGCGCTTAATAGAACCTTATATGCGATGTTAAGGAAGCTTATTCTACGGGTAATGGTGGAGACGGTGGGGTCCCCTTTTAAGGATTAAGGAGAGCACAATTAAATTCCAATCGTCAGGCATGCGTTCATCCGACCATATTTTGCAAAGTAGCTGATGTACGAACCTCGTCAGCACTTCACCGCCATGTTTATAGCTCTGCCAGTAAGCCGTTAGCTTCAATCGCATTGTTGTTCTTTAAGCGGGCAATTGCTATTCGAACCTCGTCATAGTGAGGTAGCTGGACGTCTTTTCCGTCGTCATCGTCATCATCCATTTTCACTGTCATTCATCTCATATATTTAAAATACTCTGAACATCGGTCGATAGATCACCTCTTTGTTTCCTACAAGAGTATTCTCCGTTCTTGAAACCTTCTGTAAGCGGTTCTATCTATTCATAAAATTTTCGAGCACTTTCGTCTTGCTTCCCTCTACAACTCTTGGTATCTATCCCACCCCACAAGTATAGTGGTCGAGCCGACCTGCTAATGAGTGCTCTCAGAGAGCTGGAGTGCAAGAGGCGGCTGCGTATCTGCACTGCTGCAACAAGATATTGGTTCGAGTCGATGGTGGGTCTTCGGAGTGTAGGCAAGTCAAGAACACTGGAGACATGTTTTCCGTCTATCCCATCATGGTCGATCTGATTTTGTGTTTTTCGATCAGGAGACAGTCAAGTAGCTTGTTTAATTTTTTTGTGAGGGAATCTACTACTACAGAAAACCATATTTCGGGCGCCAGTCAAGTTTATCAGCTAAATTTGCCAGGCACAATTTTCACATCGTGTTGGGGCAGCGCTCATAAGTATACTCCAGCCGCTTATAGAAGGCATCTTTGGCCAAATCGTCCTTCCCTACCTTCGGAGCGTGGGCGCGAATCAAGGATATGTTAAAAAAATTTTGATTTGATGCGTGTAAGCGTCTACTTAAATCACCATAAATAAACAAATGTAACTGCCGTGCGCGTGGGATTACCCGTCTTTTCTCACTATTTCCGTGTGCCCCATCACGCGCCAAATCCCATATCCAAATTTCGTTAGCGCCAAATCCCATAGCCAAATTTCGTTAGCCCATCGATTGCTTAGCGGCGGCCGTTCGAGCTAACGAAAAATCAATCTAAAATCAACAGCCCTCGCTCGCGCACGGCAGCCTTTTAAGCTGCGGCTTCTATATTCTGTGTTATACGTTTAATAGTTTGGATAAAATAATTTAGTTAAAATTTATGTACATAGAAGTTTGATCGTGAAGAAATGCTTACTCTCTTCATTCTATGTGGCGGGTCTCAAACCCAGTGCACAAGCTTCCTGGGTGAGAAAGTTTAATGTTTATTCAGAATGCTATACAGGGACCGCTTGCTTCAGGACCGACGCCCGACGCGGATCTTAAGCCGAGCAAGTCGGAGTGGCTCCACTGCAGCTTCCTCTTTTTTAACCTTGACCCAAGAATCCACACGAGTTGGTTACCGCATCTTGCTAAAGGGTTGCTCAACTTTTTGGCCAACTTAACAGCAGAGGAATGGCAATATCTATAGGAAAACTGGTAAGTAATGAAAAATGATTAAAGAAGTTCTAGCTGCCTTGCGATTTATTGCAACTGGATGCTATCGAAGGCCTGCTAGAGAGCAATGGCAAATAGGAGGGCAATTTTTTTGATTGATATTGCAGTACAAACAGTACACCACATAATATGTGCACATAAATCATCGAATCTTTGCCAATATTTTGACTAAATACTAAATACCCTTGAGCTCGACACCATTAATGTATTTGGATCTCATTATCGTGCGAATAGTCATGACCCGATATTTGGAAAGTGGAAAGCTTAACATGCAATTCATTTAATTAATAAACTTGATTTCACGAATTCACGAATCGCATAATCGTTAGTTCAAACGACAAAATTCGAAAGTTTGCAATGCGACAAATCATACCAAAAAGTGGCAGCGGCAAAAACTGTATTTATGTACATACACGTATATGTACATGAATCAATTTATTTTATATTTTGATATCTTCATGATAGAATACAAAGGGAAATTCGATTATTCATAGATGTGG